GGGGGAGGGGGAGGAGGAAGAAGATCCTTCCAGTAGGCATTTCTCCTGAATTTAGTCATGTCCATACCCTGCAAAATGTCAACTATTACCTTGTCCACTGGACACGTCACATTTTGGAATTTGGGAGCAGTAGCCAACTCGGATGTTTGGGTCAGTTGTAAAACACCAGGGTGACTCAGCGCCATCTGGATTTCTGCAATAATTTTCTCTCAGGTCCCTGTTAGAAATAAACAGGTTAATGTGAATGACCGAAGATACCTCACTGAGGAAGTTAGTGCTAGGACTCTTGTAGCATCCTGGAGTGTGTGCATGTATACCATGACATTTGTTTCACTCATTCTCAACTATAGGACTCCCTACTGCTGCCATTTTGAAACAGTGGCCTGCACCTAATCTTCGATAAGGCAGCCAAAATTATAAGATGGAAGAAAGACAGTCTCTTCCACAAATGGTGCTGGCAGAATTAACTACACACATGGAGAAAAATTAGATCCTTATATATCACCCTGCACTAAAATCAACTCCAAATGGATAAAAGACCTCAAGGTAAAGGATGAGACCCTGAAAATATTACAGTAAGGGCTCCTCAGCACAGCTCAACACTTCCTAAATAAAGATTTAGAAACACAACAAATCAAAGAAAGTATGGATAAATGGGATTTCATTAAACTGCAGAGTTTCTGCATGGAAAAGGACACAGCAAGATAAATAACCCACAGATTTGGGAGATCTTCACTAGACAAGGGTTTTATATCAAAAATACAAAAATATACCTAGAACTCAAAAATTAACCCCATCCAATAACAAATCCCCAGATAAACAACCTCCCCATTAATAAGTGAGCTAAAGAATTAAAGAGACTTCTCTGTAAAGGAAATAAGAATGGTCAACAGACACATTAAGAAATGCTCAGTGTCACTGGCCATAAACGAAATGCAAACCAAAACCACATTGAAATTCCCTAACCCCAGTTATTATGACCATTATTAAGAAAACAAATAATAGGGGCTTGGGGTTTAGCCCAGCGGAAGGGCGCCCGCCTGGCACGTGCAAGGCCCTGGGTTCTGTCCTCAGCCCTGGAAAAAGAAATAATAATAATAACAGATGCTGGTGGGTATGTTGGTGAGAATGTAAATTGGTTCAACCACTCCAGAAGGCAGTATGGAGGTTCTTCAAAAGACTAAACATAGAACTCCCTTATGATCCAACAATCCCACTCCTGGGCATTTACCCAAATGATCACAAACAAGGCCATACTAAAGCTACCAGCACAACTATGTTCATTGCAGCACTATTTACCATAGCTAAGACATGGAACCAACCCAGATGCCCCAGTGTAGATGTATGGATCAAGAAAATGTGGTATATTTACACAATGGAATTCTGTGCTTCTATCAGAAAGAATGACACTGCCCTTTCGTAAGGAAATGGAAAGACTTGGAAAAAATCATATTTAGTGAAGTAAGCCAGACCCACGGAAACACAGGCTCTATAGTTTCCCTCATTTGTAATAATTAGTATATGCCTAGGTAGTCCTGACAGAGAAGCATAATAGCTCAAGAGTGATGAACATATGACCATACAAAATAATGCCAATTGAAATGAACTCCAAGACATGGAAACAACAGGTCATTTTTTTTTCAGTTGTCAACCTTGCTATCTCCATGTACTATATCTAGTTTTTTCTTCTTCTTATATTTCATTTTTCTTTTTTCATTGGTTTATCCCTGGCAATCTCTGTCGTTCATCCTGTATCTTGTATATGCATTTATCTGATTGGGGGAAGGGAAGAGAAATAACAAAATGCTGAGAGAAGTACAAAAGATGACCTGTTGCAGCCACAACACTCACAGGACACAATGCTGGAAATGAACTTTACATCTTCATAGGGGGTAGAAAATGGGGGGAAGGAAGGGATAATGGGAGAACAACAATGGAGTGGGTAACAATGTTCAGTGAGAAATGTACCTTACTCACGTAAATTTAACCCCTCTGTACAGCGTCTTTGCAATAAAATAAAAAATTTAAAAAGTGATCTGTTATTTATTATATTTTCATGAGTCATGTATAAGAGGGAAATGACATGTACCTCTCACAGCATGACAAAAGCTATTATCTCATTAACTACTTATACCTCTCACAGCAGAGCAGAAGTTACTATCTCTTTAAACGCTCTCATTCAAAATGGAAGGTTGTATTATTCAAATATTTCTTACCCAAAGCATACCAGCTGCTTCTTCCTTAATTCTATATTATCTTCTTTATATTTAATTTGCTGACTAGATTTCTTTTGAATACAATGCAGTTCTTTCTGAGTTTTGAAAATTCATCTGAGATTATGAATTCATATTTCTGTAAAGTTCAGGCTTAATTCTAGTAAAGACATCCAGCCTCAGAACAAGTCATTAATGTAGTATATGTACATTCTTTATCAGTATCTTAATTAGAAATGCACTACTTGTAGGAGAAAAGTCTGTGTTGATATTCTCTAAGAGGATTTTAGTGGTTTTCTATCTCAATATAAGGTGAACATCAAATAAAATGTAGAAGTTTCTAAGGAAAGGTTTGGTACTTGGTCAAAAACAAGAAGTAGCATTTTTCTTGTCAAAGCAAGTATTAACACAAACTGATACAATAATTAAATCCACTTAAAGGAAATGTTCATATAATATAACATATCTAAACCTTTAGAATCCTTATAAATGTAGAAACTGAAAAAGATGAATGAAACTTTTATTTCTTTTAAACCAATATCTACTTCTGTTTGAAATTTGTATTCTCGTCTAAAATGTGTGTTAATTTTTACATAAGATGTACAGTTATGCAGTTTTAAAAATAAATTATCAGTTAAATTGCTCTGCACTATCCAGCTAAGGCAAGATAAGTAAATGGATTTGGAAAGCTGGTGAAAGTCTTTGAGACTGCTTTATTAACCTAAAATAGGGAAGAAGAAAGGAAAGGGACACAATCAACAGAGGAAGTATTGTTGCTTGTAAGATTTCAGTAGTTATCATTTGAAAGTATCTCAGTGTTGGGGCAAACAATGTTTAATAGAACCAGAGATATCATTTAATTAGAACTTTTTTCTGTTGATAAGAAACAATAATACATAGTAAATCTATATTCTGAAAAAAATTCTTGACAAATTGTAATAATCCACACTGGGGGCAATTATGTTTGATATTTTGGGAAAAAATAAGAAATTTAGAAAGACCTTTTTCTGTTTTGTCAGCCGTGGGGTTTGAACTCTGGGACACTGTCCCTCAGCTCTTCAGCTCAAGGGGAGTGCTCTACCACTTGAGTCACAGCACCACTTTTGGTTTTCTGAGTGGTTTATTGGAGATAAGAGTCTCACAGACTTTCTTGCCCAAGTTGGCTTTGAACCATGATCCTCAGATCTCAGCTCCCTGAGTAGCTGAGATTACAGGTATGAGCCCCCGGTGCTCAGCTAGAAAGAACATCTTATAGTCCAATAACATGTAACAGTTAAACTTGTGATAATTATGTTTCAATAGAAAAGCTGATAAATTAAATCCCTTTCTCTGATAGAATAAACTATATATTTCTACATATAGAATTTCTAAGTTGGGAATTACTAATTATTACATAGGAGCAACAGAGCTGGGGACCTGAATCAAGTGGTAGACTACCTGTTTAACAAACGCAAGGCTCTGGGTTCGATCCCCACTACATATAATTTTTAAAAAGTTTATCAATGCTGTCTTCTTTAATACCTTTTTAACTACTCTTTCCTCCTGCTTACTCTTTGATATTCATTTGGTTCTGAGCTGTGAACACATGGGATAGGAATAAAGAAGACATTTCCTTGAAGGAACTGAGAGAAATAAAACCAGAATGATAAGTCTAAGTTTAGTCATTATAAAAACATAAAAAGTGTTTAGCATGTGACTATTTATTATGGGAACAAACAAAATCACTGAAATAGCTAAAACACACCAATCACCCTCACCACCTCTTCTTTTGCATAAGACAGGCCAATACTGCGCAGAGCTCTCTACTCCACAATGTTTAAGCTATTTTTATTAAAAGCCAATTACATAAAACCAATATATGTTATTTATAGATGCTATTTCAGCAAAGCCACTATGAATGACATGTGTGTTATAAATTCCAAATGTAATCATTTCATGTGCCTTCTAACAAGGTGGACAATTTAAAAACACATGGCACTGAGGCTGTGTCTGTACAACGAAAAGGCAAGTGGTGAAAAGCTGCCAGGCGTAGGCCAGAAACAGCTGTACAGTGGGTACTGTGGGCCACTTGCTTTACCTTGATCCGTTGCAACAATTGTTTTACTTCTCATTTTTCAGTCCTGAAACAACTGAAAAATTGAAAAACAACTGTGAAAAATAATTTTGTTCACAGAGCTTTAAGGCATCCATTCAAAAGGTTACCTGGAACAAGGTAAAAAAGTGGGGAAATAGCTTCTTCAAGATAACACAAAAATATGAGAAGGCACTTGTTTGAAACACGTTTGGTAATCATTGATTGAATTATTGAATGCTGAGATCAGGATAAATGATCAGAATCTCATCTCCCTCAGACCCCCTGAAATGTATAGCATATCTCTAAACGTACTCACTTGCACTTGAAATTTTCAGGAGTTACATCGTGCTCATGTGGATACTGGGAGTCCCAACGCTGACAAGGAATGCCATTCCAAATGGTATTGACAGTTCCCCTGTAACCTTCTCCTTGACCTTGAATGCATTCAGTGGTTTCCATAGGGACATGAGTGTCATTTATAGTGCTGTGAGCTATTGATAGAAAGAAACAGAGACCTAAATAAAATAGTTCAACCTGTTATCTGCCTCTTATAATTCATATGCATTTCTCTTTTTCGGGATTTTTCAGTCACTACTACTAGCTTTTGTAGTAATTACATGGAAATTCAACATAATAATATTTTCTCTGCTCCAATCCATCTTAATTCCAACCTTAGGTTGATTTATTATTACTTAATACTTCTTTAATGTCATTTTACTCCCATATATCAGTATAACTTACTGATATATCTAAATAACATTTTCTAATAATTACATTTTCTAAAAATTACATTTTCTAAATAACATTTTCTGAAATGACTGCTATTATTTTCAAAAGCAACTTAATAACATACAAATTAGGTCAGTAATGCAATTAACTCATATTTTTTTCTCTTATGTAATAAGAGAAATAACTGATAAAGTTATTTTTTTCTTTCTAATAAAACTGTTTAAGAAATTCATGTCTTTGGATAAGACTCAAGTTTTAAACCATCTAGGACAGTTTAACGTTTAAATAAATTTCTTTCATATATTAATTTTTGGTATTCTCTCTTTACAAAGGTGAGAGCAGAATCAGACATGCCTTAAAAGATTAAGAATTTGTCTGAAATTTTTCTATACTTGGCACTATAAATTATCCAACACGGTTCCTTAATTTTTATTGAAACTTATTTCTTTCATATGTACATTATGTAGCTATCTGTTTAATTTCATTAACTACTGTTAACTTAATTAACTGTACCACTAATTTAATTAACTATACTTAGTTTGTTCAGGCAAATACGTAGTTTGTTCAGGCAAACTAAGTGCAGTCTAACTTTAGAAGTATTATAAAAAGTTTCCTTTAGAAAGGGACTATGTTAATGATTATCCACCCAGCCACTGGACTATGTTCTATGTGAAATTGTCACTAATTTCCCTTTGAATAAATTTGCTTCAGCTCAATTAAAAGTACTTAAATTTGGATCAAGCATGTGACTTTCTCTCAGCTACTTGGGAAGCTGATTTGGAAGGATGGAAGTCTGAAGCCAGCCTTGGGTAAAAGTGAGACCTTTCCAAAACTAAATTAAAGCAAAATGGGCTGGGGGCAGGACTTAAATGGTAGAACTATCTGCTTAACAATCAGGAGGTCCCGAGTTCAAGACTCAGTATGACATATGGACACAAAAATTAGTTTAAATCCATATGCAGCTCTTCAGTAGAATAGAAAAATGGCTCATAACAACAAATTCCAAATAAGGACTAAAAAGATGTGAGAGCTTGACCTACAAAGTCCAAACTGAGACATATCTAGAAAATTAATATATATATGGATAATATATTTTGATTCAGCAACAACAAAAACTTCTGGAGCAAAAGATATGACTTGTATTAGTCCTTCATGATTTAATATTAACTTAAAGATTCTGGTGAAATATAAAATAAAAATAATTTCAGAGTCAAAAAATAATGCCATAGTTACTATATTTGTGATAACTTGAGTTAAATAGTAACATCTTTGAATAGTGACAACTCCAAAGAAGATAAAGCTGGTACTGGTATAGTTCCCATCTTATTCTAAAACTATGATGAGGGAGAGGTAACCCCAGCTTCTTGGGAGATGAAGATAATAGAATCGCAGTTTCACGCCAGCTCAGGAAAAATTAGCAAGACCCTCTCTCAAAGAATAAGCCAAGCATGCTTATGTACATAATCCAAACCTGGCCCAACCTCATAGATGAGAAATAACTAAAGCAAGGGTGTGAATGTGTATCACAAGTGGTAGAGTGTTTGCTTTGCAAGTGCTGGACCTTGAGCTTACAACACCAGTGTCATCCCTAAAATTTTTTAAAGACTATAATGAGAATAAAGATAAGACTGAATGTCTCTAGGAATACAGCAATTCATTAATTTACTATTAAAAGAAGAAAAGTTTGATTCTCTATTACTATGGTTTGAGGATGGCTTATCTCCTCTGAAACTCATGGTAATGCCACTGTACTGGGGGTGGGATGCACACCTGCTAAGGGGTGAGGAGACCAGATGGCACACAGTGGAATATGCTTTGAATTCTAGGTGCTCTGGAGAATGAGATGGCAGAACTGCAGTTCCAAGAAAATTCAGGTACAAAAAAGCTGGGCATGGTAGCTCATATTTATAATTCCAGCTACACAGGAAGTATGGCTAAATGGGTCAAGGTCTGTGGTCAACCTTAAGCAAAAGTGAAGGACTATATCCCCCAAAAATAACTACAAAAGAAAAAAATCTGTGGGTATGGCCAAGGAAGAGGTACTGCTGAGAAAGAGGAGGGGGGGGGGAGAAACAGGGAGAGAGAGAGAGAGAGAGGAGAAAGAAGGAGGAGGAGGGAAAGGGAAGGGAAAGAAGGAGGGAAGAAGGAGGGAGAAAGAGATACTATGATCAGGTAACTAGGAGGGATTAATGCCTTTCTTGTAACACCTAACACTGAATTCATTCTCAGGAGGATGGGAAACACAGTCTTCCTCAACTTTTGTCTCTGCTGTATGTGACAAACCCATTCTTCAGCTTTTTTACTACGTTATGGCCCCTCACCAGGGGCTACCATTTCGTCTTGGCCTACCAACGTCCAGAATCTTTAACCAAAACTCTACTCTTTGTATTCTCTCATGTTAGAACAGAAGAAAGGCTGAAACACCTATTTCATGGGCTCGATCTCTTGACTGTAATCTTGTGTCCTGTCAGTGCAAGCACATTTCCATGAATCTTTTCACAGACTACACTGTCATGAGAAATTCAATGCTCTTTTTATTCCCTACCCAACTGACTATATTTGCTTTCTTGGCTTATGACAGAACTTTCTTCTGCACTACCTACCTGAGCAGTCTACACGTGCAACTCAGAGACACAGTCTTTCAGTGAGGGTTAGCATTGGCTCCACATAAACAACCCTATCTCTGAGAAACTCATTCAAGTCAGAGACCATCAGGAATGAATATACTCTGCTCCTTGGGCTTTACTATGACTTGCCAGACACCAACCAAGGCAGTAAAGAATGAAAAGAATCAGAAATAACTAGGGATTCAGTCATTGTCTGTGGGGAGCTTCTACCCATAGAAGCAGGTTCAGAGGACTGTTTCTATTATATTATGAAGAGAGTTTCACATGAGTAAAGGTTCTTAGAATACAGAGGAGAGTAAAATATTCTGTACAATATAAGATTATTATTTTTTTCTAAGCTGGGCACTGGTGACTCAAATCTGTAATCTTTAGCTACTTGGGAGGCTGAGAGAAATAGGATCTAATATCAACCAGAAAAGTTAGCAAACCCTATTTCAAAAATAACCAGCAAAGAGCAGGCCTGGAGGCCTGGTTCAAGTGGTAGAGTGCTTGCCCTGAAGGTGGTAGGCCCTGAGTTCAAACCTTAGTATCATCAACCTACATTAAAAATAAAACTGAATGAAAATACTATTTTTACCAATTCTTTTAATAAGAATTATTCATTATATATAACTTTTGAGTAACTTCAGAGATTCACCTTTTCATTGTGCCTTAATTCATTGGAAATATACCCACATAATTTTAACCACAATGAGCATTATTCAGCTGATATTTTTCTTTCAGTACAAAGTACCTTCAACTGCTAGACATGATCTCATAAAGAAAAACCACATAATTCTAAAGGCAGTAGACAGACTGAATAATATGGTGGATAAAGATATATTAGTACAACAGGGTAACAAAATAATTTTCATCAATAAATAAGAGCTGTTAAGGAGTTTATGAAGCTGTTTAATAAATTTTATCTGGTAGGGAAGGAGTATGGTGACTGATTTGTTCATAGGCCATTTAACCATGACATACATGCTTGATCTTTGCTGTTCACATGCTTACTATTCTAATAAGATTAATTCTTCCTCAACTGCAGCAAATAGACTCTTCTCTTGTACTGTATAAATATCAAAGGCTCATGCAAAAATGAAACAAATGTTTCATGATAATGGATTTGGAAACAGCTATTAAATATTGGGAAAGGCATTTCTTTGTACTTAATCCTTCAACAAGGGGTCCGAATAAGGGAAGGCTTTAAAGGCCTCCAGTGGCCAAGCCAAGTGTTAAAGAAGCACAGAAACATTGCCAAATATCAGCTGAAGCTGATCAAGTTGGGACTAAGCAATGTGTTTTTAAAACACAGCATCATCATATACATAAACATTTTTGCAAGTATGCCTACTGCCTTCACCCTGAAAATACCAAGAGCTCTTTGGAGAGCTCCTCAGAAATAAAATATTTTGCCAGTTGTGTCAGTGGTGGCCTTGCTTTGGAAGCACATATAAAGATATTTATACGATCCTCAGAGGCCTATGAGTGAAGGAATGTTTTCCTTTGATGATTGACACAAAGTTTTCTGTTTGGAAATACTTTAAGGAAAACAGCATTTGCTATTGAAATTTTTCACTGCCCTGTTAGAATATGATCAAATACAGCATGCGTCTCTTAAAAGCATTCTTTACAATTATGGTATGGATGTACTGTGATCTGATTATGGAATTTTTAAGTGTGAATAGATTCTTATGAAAGAAAGAACATCTATATGCCTTATTCATAGAGCAAGCATCTTGTACCCCAGACAGACAGAAATTAGTGGAACAAGATCAGTAATAATACATCTGATCAAACCAGGCCTAGTGGTGCATGTCTATAATCCTATTACTCAGAAGACTAAAACAAGAGGATCATGAAATATATAGAACATTGGAAATATATAGGACTTATATCAAAATAAATGATAAAATAAATAAATACCTCTGATCAATTTTCTGCAGACAAAAACATGACCCTGGTGGGGAAATATTAAAAAAAAAGCCAGAGTACAAATGCATGTATACATTACAAAGGGCTACACCAAGAGCTTTATAAGCTTTATTTAGAAGATAAGTAAAACTTTGCATTTAAAATCCTTTCTCAACCCCAAATCTCACCGAGAAAATTCAGATTCCTTAATATAGATAAGGTACTTCAGTTCATTTTGTAGT